GTGAGGTACCAACTGCACTGGACTCCAGCTGTCCTTTCTGTTCCATGGTGCCTGCAGCTGGCCATGGCTCAGTGATCTCATGAGCAGCAAGATCTCTGCTTCCAGTAGATTTTAACAATAATACTTGAAATGAACATATCTCTGGCCATACAATACAGAACATAACTCTTGTCTGCAAACTGCAAATCCTACTGAAAGGAAACAGTCCTTTACATGCAAACCCTCCACACGACTCCAGGAGCACTGGAGTTTCTTAGACAGCAGCTCAGGTTCTGGTTTTGCAGTTGCACATGATTTAAAGTGCAACTCAGTTTAATTCTTACCCCTGGCTTTCTCCTCTCTTCTTCCATTTGCTCCTCAGTTATTGGCAAGCCTCAAGTTTACTGATCTTGGTCTGAACTTTGGAACTGCAAATGAATGAAAATGCCAGTGACCATTTACCCTTATACAAACCTGGAATGAAAATCCATGCAAACTGTTCCTGTTTTCCTTTATCACCTTGAACACATGGTTTATGAAATTATGACTGGGACAGTTTTTCAGCTGTCAAAATAAGGATAAATGGGAAGATGAAGATACCAAAATCCAGCAGAGTCCATATTCTCTGAAAAAGGTTCTTGAATCTGAAGGGACAACACCATTAATTTTTCTCTTGGTGAAGCAGGAGCAAGACACAGGAGCTTGCCACAAATGGTTCTTGTAGAACCTTTTAAATGATAGTTTTATAAGATAACACAAGGCAATTGGAATAGAAACTAAAATATATTAAATATTTTTCTGGGTAAACCAGACATGTTTTTTAAACAGTCACATCCCAAGTGATGTGTGGTTAATATTTAACAAACTTGGTCCTAATTTTTTTAAAAACATTGTGCCTCAAAAGGATAAGGAAGGAGATTCCTTTGGGGTTACAAGGGAGTACCTGCAGTGCAGCAGTCACTGCAGTGCCTGTGTACTTGCAGGACCTGGTGGCAATAGAGTTGCTCCAGGTGTTAAAGAAATGTCCCAAAGGGCTCACACCATTCCCTTATCACACACCTTCACAGTGCTCCACAGCCTGAAAACCCATTCTGCTTCCAGGGGAAGAAAGATCCATTAAAACAATAGGAAAACAATAACTGAAAAACTTAAAGTTCAGCTGTGCAGTAAATGCAGGTTGGTTTTAGCACCACTTTTTCTCCAGATTCCTCTATCAGACACTCTTGAAAAGACCAAATTATTTTAGTTAAGTAAACCATAGGAAAAAAAATTCCTCTCCTGTTAGAAAAAGAGGATATACCAATCTCCAGTATCAACTCCTGATTTAAACACACATAACCCCACTCCCCTCTCCACCCCCAAACTCAGTCACCTTCCATTTTACCAAAACCAGTCTTCACACTGGATCCTGTGCCCCTAGCAGGTGTCATGTTCCCAGTGCATCAGACATTTCAGACTGCATGAGTCCTCAGGAGAATTCAGCAGGGAAGAAGGTGACTCAAGCAGTTCAAGGCTTTCTTGGCATTTTTGCTGTTGGCTTTGTTGCTTTCCTCCACATGAATTTTCAGTCTTATTCTCTTACAAATCAGTGTGCACAACTGATACAGAACAGTTCCAGAAAAAATGCACAATCAGGTTAATAATAAATCAGTCTCTGAGAAATCTTCTTCATTACTTCCTAATCCATCACAGCTGAGAATGTAGCAAGAGATGCAGATCTGAGCAGGCTTTTTTTGGCTCAGCCCTGGAGCAGGGGATGTGATGGTATCACAACACTGATGGGACATTTTTCTGAGCAATGTTTTCTCATCAAGGTCCATCAGCAAGCAGTGTCTGATAACAGCAGCTTTAGCATTACTGTCATAAAACCATTCTGCTTTTGTAATTTAGGTCTCATATTTTTTGTTTTCACTGCTATTTAAAATACTTCCTTAAGCCTTATACATTAAGTTCATGTCATGAAAACAAATTCCTGAAGAAATGGTCATCAGTCAGAATCAGTGTTATGTTCATGCACCTTCTGTAGGTCTCAAGAAAGTCTGCTTGCTTGGCCAGTGGCATTTTTAAGACTGAAAATTATCCTTCTGTAAAAATTCTTTTCAGCTACATGAGTGTTACAATACTAATATCACTGGAAGTGGAAGACATATGTAATTTTTAAAAAATCAATACAGTCAGAGCATTTACCTACAAGAGACTTTGTATATAGTTGGTAAGAGGAAAAAATAAAAGTACCAAAGAAAGTGGGAGTGCTGGGGCAATCTGATGCTTAAAACATAAATTTAAAAAATACTAGGATGCAATTAATTCCACTGAAGCCCATATATTTCATCCCAAAAATCAATCAAAAAATGGCTTGATTGAATTTTTAGATAATTACTATCCACTCCTGCCAAATATATTCTGTTCTCCAGAAGCGTGACAGTCTTTTAAGCTAATGAACTAAGCCTTGCAGCATGGGAAGAGAAAATTAAATGAGCAAGAAAATCTTTGCTGTGCTATAAACACAAAATGCAACAATGTTGGAAAACACAGCTGAGAGCCCAAAGGAAATGTGCAGGGCTGTTATATCCACTGTCCATACCTGCACTCAGTTCCAGTCATGGGGATGTGTGAATGTGGGGAGAAGGTAAGGAGGAAACCCAGCTGGGGTCTTGGCTGGAGAGAAGTTAAAGGATCTCCCCTAGGGGTTTTTTGGGAGTGGAATAAGGAATGTGCATTCTTTGCATTTACCCATGCAGCACTCTGACTTTTGGAACTATCAATGGTATTCTCTCCACCTGAACATGCTTCTTCCTCTGGCACATTGGCAGGAGCTGCAACAAAAACAAATGCAGAAAAAGCAGATATAAGGAATGTAAAAGTCTACATGTAGTGGGTCTTTCCTGAATCGGTCTCCTAAAAGGCTGCAAGGGTTCCTTCTGTAACCTTCCATAACACTGCATGCTTCTGACAAGGGGAGGGAGACAGGAACTAAAAACTTCCTTCCCCCCTTCACATAAATACATTCAGGATAATTGCTACTTTTTTTTTTTAAATCAGGTCAAAAATTAAGTTTTTCATTTCATAAAAAACCAGCCTTTTGAGACAAAAGAGATGTCCTTTGGAACAGGGCGTCCTGCTACCACCCAACAGTAAGGACTGATCTCACCTCAGCCTTGTCCTTTTGGAAAAGCTGCAGGAAGCTCAGAAAGCCCACAAAAAATGCCATAGTTGGTGTTTTTAGGGAAATTGAGGCAGGACAGAAGGAGGGAAAGGGTGACATCATGCATAGGAAAAAAAAGTTATGTAGGAATAATTTCTTACTTTCATAACAGTGAAACAAAAGAAAGAGGTCTCTGTGCCTTGCCACAGCAAGGAAATCCACTGAGAAATCCACTTGCCACTGAGGAAATCCACTGAGAAATCCACTTATCACTGAGGAAATCCACTGAGAAATCCACTTGCCACTGAGGAAATCCACTGAGAAATCCACTTGCCACTGAGGAAATCCACCCAGGTGCAAGGGCCTGCATGAGGAGAGGGCACCATGCTGGTTTGTACCTGCACCACAGACCTAAACCTTGCTTATCACTCCATTCTGGCAGGAAACACAATTTACTAAAAAAGAACTTTCCAGTAAATAACACCTCCTAAACTCACTTTCTACCCCACCACTCAAAAATAAAGTATGGATGTCCCCCTGGGTTATGTTCCAAAAGCTAAAACATAATTGCTCTTTGAACAGGACTGGGATTTTCTGTCCAAGTGTATATTTTTTGACATTGTTGCCCAAGATGCCCACAAGCTTCTCAGGTTCCTGCTTTGCTTGTTGGGGCTCCTGGATCAGTCAGGGCTGCCAGCAGTGCCAGGAAAGCTGGAATTCCTGCTCCTGCCCATGGAGGGGTCACCTGGCTGCATTCAGACCCTCACAGGACTAATCTGAGTTGTGGCTGAGCAAAGCCAGCAGATTTCTGGGTTCCTGTGACAGCCAGGTGTGTTCAGTGAGGTGAGCTGCTCAGCTGAACTTGCACTGCCTAAGATAAATTATGCTGCAACATTTCTAAAGGAAACCTTAACCATGTGCTTAGAGAAGATTGCAGCACATCCTGTTAAGCTGAGTGTTTGTGCATCCTCTCTGTAATCAATGGTAAGTAATAAAAACAAAGCAGAAAGAAAATGTTAACAAGACTCTCATATACTTGGAAGGTGTTTAACATTGCTGGCTAGGACATAAATGCCTTGCAAGAAAAAAGAAAACTGCCTTTAAGAATGCAAAAATGAACCCCTACAGTTACATGTCATGTCTCCAGAATGAGCTAGCTAACTAAATCCAAAATGCTTTTCTTTGTGAACAAATATCCCTCCCACAATGCTGTTTTCTCTGCAGTGCTAGGGACCTCAGAGGTTTAAATACAAGTGAAAGGATTTAAGCACTTGCTGTACTTTGGTCTTACTTTTGGTGATTTCCTCTTCTCCAAGGATGAAGAAGACCCAAGTGTAAAACTAGAGAAAAGAGAGGCACAGAGAGCCAGGCAAAGGAACTCCAGAAAGGTGTTTTGTCACATGGCTGAGCATGGCTGCTGCAAGCCCTGCAAGCACCACACACAGGGAGATCAATGTTCAAGCCTGCTCCTGCACCCCAGAGCACATCTGCAGGATATGGCAGTGAAAATACCAATGAATCACCTCATCCTCACCTGAGTGCACTGCCACCACTGTCAGCAGCCAGCTCTGCCCTGGAGGCTCAGGCTGACAAGCCCCCATATGCTCCCTCTTGGCTGGGAGGCCACAGGATTTTGGGCAGGATCAGAGGAAACTTCCTAAGCTGCTCCTGGACATCAGCCTCACTCTGGCCATGTTCCTGTGCCTGATTTCACTCAGCCAAAGCAGCAACACCAAAAATATTCCCCAAAGACTGTACACACCTCACTGGTGTGCTGCTGGAAATGGTAAATTATTGTATTCACAGGAATCCTTCAAAATGAGAAGTCCAGGTTGGCAGTCTGATTTTCTGATCTCTGCTGGAGAGAACCTGATCCATGGTTAGAAATTTTTCTTCTCCCAACCAACCAATGGGTAACTGCCCTCACAGCACCCAGTTAAAAATGTTGTATTTCTAGCTGCAATAAATGCTCTCTCTTCAAAGCATAGGTGTTTTACAGCACAGATGCAAGAGACTTTTGCTCCAGAGCCCTGGCAGGTTCCTGTGCCTCTCCTTTGTGAGTAGGAAGGCACCTGCTCAAATACAATATTTGGGGAGGCTACAGTCCCTCCTCTTGTATATTTTCTGCTAACACCTTTTATGCCACATATAAACAAAAAGTATTGGAATATTCTAATATATACATTTTAAAATGCAAATACATTGGGAAACCTTAGCCTTGAAAGTTTATTTTTGTTAGATGTATTAAAAACATTTTGTAGTGAGATATGAGAATATGAAAACAAGTAATAGTACTTGGATCTCATTTATCTTTTAAGTTGTTTCCCAAATCCTCTTATCATGCAGAAATTGCAATGTCCTCCTTGTCCTTTGAGGCATTGGCCAAGACAGAGAAAACTCATCAACTCTTCTCAAATTAAGCTTTCTTCACAATGCAGGTTTCAGATTCAGTGCTGTCAGCCTCTGTTTCAGTTCCATGATTCACACAAGCTTTGGATCAAGCCTCAAGTGACAAAATGAATTTACTGCTTCTGGATATTTATTTTTTCAACTTAACGCTATCTGCCTCCTATTCATTACCTTAGATCAGGTTAATTGTGTGCTCATGAGAACTCATTTGTATCTTGAAGCCTTTATATTAAATATCCCATTGCCTCAACTGACTAAAAAATTCTTTACCCAGCTACAATATCAAGTCTTGTATTGGACCTGACTCTGCTTTGCTTGAAATGCTTTTGTTTTAGAATATTTTACGGGTCATGCAAAAATAAAACAAAATGCACAAAAATTGCACATTTGGGATATAAATAACAGAGGTTAAGGGGCAGCTGGAGTGGATGTTCTGTGGTCACTGACACCTCTCCCCTCACACAGATTGCAGTGGAACTGCTCTAATGACACTGCAATTTGCATTTAGAAAAGGAGAAACCTTCAAAGAGAGCAGCAGTTCATTAATTTTAATGTAACCCACCCAAAAAATGCGTAAAGCAGAGGTAAATATTTGTCCATGGGTGTCAGCAAGCTCTTCTAGTCCATCATGATACATTATTATTTCTTTTGTATCTAAATCACTGTCAGACTGGAATGCTGCTCTGAACCAAGCTTCAGTTACAGAAATTATTGCTTAACAAGTATTTTGCAGTTCCTTGCAAAGCAAGAATTTGAGATGGAAGATGTTATGTAAGAGAGAAGATGGAGGACAAGGACAAATCAAGAGCTGCTTACCTGTCCTTACATTGCACAGGTACATTACAGTAGCCATTCATTCTTTCCAATCATTTTAAGACTTTTGCTGCCATTGCTTTGGAATGGAATCACCTATGCCTTAACTGACAACCAAACCATCACTAACTGATTGAAATCAATATCAAGAGACTAAAAAGCAGCATAAAAGACTCAAATTTGCAGTCAACAAACCAGCAAACACCTCTTCTGCATTCCTGCACACCTTTAAGCTGAGTTCCAGTTCTACACATACAGTTTCTGGGCTTGCAAATTCCATACATAAAATTTCACATGCAAATATTTAAAGCTGATATCAAAACACTTGGCTTCCTACAAAGACAGGAGCAGACACAGCCAAAATGCCTTTGTGGGATGTTCTGTTAGTGGCCCCCCTTGTTTACATGACCAAAGTCATTCTGGCCTGAGCTGGCACAAACCTTTGTGCAGCCCCCTCAAAGCTGTACCTGCATTATGCTGTGGCTCTGAGCAGATTGTTACATGGCACTGCCAACTGGAGCCACCAGTTCCAACATTAATGCTCTGTAATGACTGCTGGAAGATGGAATGACATCTCCATGAAAGAAATTCACCACTTTGGCATAATGTAAGCAGTATTTCCCTTTGCACTGCACTCATAAGCAAGTTACACTGTAGATAACCTACAGGGGAGACTTGGTCTGCTTCCAAACCCTGTTATGGGCTTCACCCCAAAGCACAGCTCCATCCCAGCTCTCTCCTGAAAACAGCTTGTGCAGAGGATTTTGTCATCAGTGCAAAGGCCTCCACAGGAAATAGGCCCAGTGTAAGACAAGGAAGCAAAAACCCCACAAAGGTGTCACTGCAGGGCTTGAGTCTGCTTTCAATTGTTGTTCAAAGCTGACAGAGTTCATGCATAGGAAGTTATTTGTATTCTATTCTTATAGAACTTCCACAGAACTTCAAATTCTACTGGACTTTGAGACAAACAATTCCTGTGTTCATTCCACTGACAAGATGGGGAACATTTCATTTGCATCTCAGTCAGGGATCTGTTAAGGCAGTAAGATTAATTTACTCAGAGCTTCCTAGCAGATGAACTGGAATCAATTTTAGATTGCTGAAAACCAAGTCTTGTACAGAAAGGTCACTCCAATACAACCCCACTGACAAATCACTTTCAATGTAAAATTTCAATACAAAACACACTTCCTCTGAAACCTACAGTGGTTTGGATCAAAGAGTCAAGTGAAAACTGATACAAACTTTATTTTAGATCCTGTCTTAGAGGAGCCCTGGTAACAGAGACTCAGGACAGCTCATGAATAAAGCCACACCTATACTAAAGCATTAGTTGGACCCAGACTTCCCCAGAACAGTTCTTTAATGCAGAAATCCACTGCAGCCTGTTCATGGTAATTCAGCACACCACATTTTACTTTTTTTCTAAAAAACTTCTGCCATAAAGTTACAACAAATTCATGAGTTTTACTACAGCACTACTAAACTACTTTTATTAAAAATGCACCCAGGCCAGCAAGGGGGGATATTTTTGGACAGGATTTTCAGATAAATTCACTTGAACTGTGGGTTGCTGCTCTCTGCTACACCAATGGTAAGGTTTCCATTAGTGTCTGAGTGAATGATGAACAATTCCCCAAGTGTTACCCAGATTTGCTTTCCCCTGAGGCTGCCACTGGCTCCTCCTGTGACTGCAGTCACTCCTCTCTGCTCCTTGCTCCATCCAGCTGTTCCACAGGTTACAGCACTGGGTGTTCGAGGCTTTCAGCTCAAATTTTCAATTTGTTCAATAACAGTCCACAGGGAGATATGAAACAAAAAATTACTTTCGAATATTCACCATGCCTTTTAGAAAATCATTCAGAAAATCTCCAATATCCAAGCCTGCACACTGGCAACTGGCCCATGAAGTTCTGTACTGACAAACTTCAGTAACATTTTAGCAGAGAACTCGGCAGCTGTCTGGAATTAGCCCTCCAGTTTCCATGGATACAACAATTAGATCAGCACAAACAAAGCAGCTGAAATTTTCAAATGAATAGCATTTCACATCACCCTCTGCACAAAAATCCTGGTGACAATAGACATGTTAAAAATACTGAAATGTTTTAGTTGAAAGCCTACCCACAGAGGCAACACTGTTAAAATAAAGGTTGTATAAGAGAAGAAAATAAATCCAACATTTTACCTTCTCATTTTAGATAAGGGAGACTACATGGCAAAGGAAAGATTATTATTAATATTTACTTTAAAATTATTTCAAGTTACATAGATGTTTTTGCAATAGCAACAAAATTTAGAAAGAAGCTCACCTTCTTTTGTGGGGTGGGGAAATCAAACCAAACCAACAACACCACAGAGAAGCTGTATGTACTTTCAGGAGAACTGCAACAGGAGCTTTGCAAATACATCCAACTTGCTTCTGCTGATCTCAAAGTATGATACAGACACAAAATCTGAGCCAAGCAAAAAAAAAAATTATTGAACTGACTGGAAATACTTCATACACTGGAGCCAGTAACAGGAATATGCAATAACTGCAAGCAGGTAACTTGTAAAGATAAAGGCTGAGCAAAAATCTCAAAACAAGAATAATCTTGGGTAATCAGGACAGTTTGTCAGAAGCTTTGTTACCTTTGGTGTATCTAAGGGGCTGTTTTAGATATCCACTGTGGTTTCTGTATCATTGTGTAACAAGTCCAATGCCTTCTGTTTCTAGTGGGAAGCCAGCTGAAAAGCTCAGCCTTCTCCAAGATGCAGGAAATGAAAGGATGAAATGAATGCTTGCCTGAATGCAAGGAAGGAAAGTTTGGATTCCCTTCTCATCAGGCACTGTTTTTACAGACATAAATAAACAAAGTTTGCCAGGAGAGATTTCTCTGTTGATTTCTCCTATAATTTATTTGGAACCACAAACAGCTTCCTCTTACAGATTTGATATTAATTATTAAATTCTCTGAGAAGAACCGTTGTGCTGAGATCCTTTATTAATTCTTCCATGATTTAAAAACATTCATAACTCAGAAATGCAAAGCCTATATCCATTAACCAGCCAAAACCAAGGTTGCAATGATCTCTTTAAATTGAAAGTGCAATATATTTTGAATATTAATTGCATTTTTTTGTTATTACATCAAATAACGTTTTTGTACAAGCGGTTTCAGATTTCTTTGAGTTTTCCCAATTGAAGGGCTAGCAACACAAACTAAACTCCCTTTCAGAGTGTTCTACCCTCAGACACTTTGTACAAATTCCACAAAGCACTCTCTGGATCCTTTGATGGGCAAACAGGCAGCATTTACACCAGAGAGCACACAGTCACAGGCTGTGGCACAACTGGGTTTTAGGGACTCTCACAGCATGCAAATTTAAAGACCGAATGTCTCATACTAAATAAGGAGACAAATTCGATTTAGAAGTTATGCTAGACTCAAGTATCAGAGAGGGGGAACTGAATGTTGATGCAAACCCTTCCAATTGGCACTGTGGGACACCAGAGGGAGCAGGGACAGGGCTGGCACCCCAATTGTCACTGTGGGACACCAGAGAGAGCAGGGACAGGGCTGGCACCCCAAT